GGGGTTAGGGATTGGGGTTGGGGTCAGGGTTAGGTGTTGGGGTCAGGGGTAAGTGTTGGGCACAGGGTTAGGGGTCAGGGTTGGGGTTAAGGGTTGGGGTTGGGGTTAAGGGTTTGGGTTAGGGGTCAGGGGGCAGGGTTAGGTGTTGGGGTCAGGGTTAGGGATTGGAGATAGGGGTTAAGGGTCAGGGGTTAAAGGTTGGGGTTAGGGGTTGGGGTTAGGGCTCAGGGTTAAGTGTTGGGGTCAGGGTTAGGGGTTTGGGTTAGGTCAGGGGTCAGGGTTAAGTGTTGGGCACAGGGTTAGGGGTTAGGGGTCAGGGTTGGGGTCAGGGGTCAGGGTTAGGGGTGTGGGTTAGGGTTGTGGCAAGGCTCGGGATTAGGGGGTAGGTTTAGGAGTTGGGCCTCAGGGTTAAATGTTGGGGGTCAGGCTCAGGGTTAGGGGTCGGGGGTCGGGGGGGGCTCACCACAGCCCAGCTCGTCCTGCTGGTTGTCACAGTGCACCACTCCGTCACACTGAGCCGAGGCGCTCACACACTGAGAGGACGAGCCACAGCGAAACTTCCCCACACAGCTCAGCCCCACTGCAGGACAGCAGAGCAGACGGGCGGCAGGAGGTCACACGTCCCAGCACAACCAATCATTGGGCCAAAAGGGAATAACAGGGCAGTCAGGCCTTCAGAAAGGTCCTGATGGGGTTTAACGTCTGTTCCAAAGCGTCAGCCATACTCGTCTGACAGCCTCTGCTTCTGGACAGAACATCCCCTTTGGGTGGATGTACATGTGAATTCACCTGATTCCGTTTGCACATGAAGCCACCGAGGTAGCTGAATAGCTCAAAGTGGGAGTCGGTCAGCTACACACTGTGTGTGTGCGTGTGTGTGTGTAGAGGGATCTGGTTGTGTAAGTGGCCCACATCAAATATTGATGCTGATGACATCAGGCGGAGCTTCTTACCTCCGAGGCCGATGCTCAGGGCCAGAGTGACCACCAGCACGAGGCAGGAGGCCATCAGGAGCTCCAGGCGGTGGGCCAGCACTCTGCTCTTCCAGCCTTTGTCCAAGTCCTCCTCTGGTGGGAGGGAGGCAGCAACACGGAAAACTGAGCTCAGACAACATAAGACAGCTCATGTGACTGATTCTGCCCAGCTCCAGCTGGGCTCAGGCTGGAGACCCCGGAAGCTGCTGAGTGGGCTGTAGTCTAACTTTAACCTTTACTACTAAACAAATCAGGGAACAGAATGAAGGAATTGCCCATCTTTCATCTCTTTGTGAAATTCTTATGCAAAGCACAACCTTTAAGATCCCTTTTTCTGTCCGTAAAACAGAAGTAAACTTCAAACACACTGTGTGATCCACTGGACTGTCCCTCTACAGACGGCAGCCCTGTGAATACATCTGAAATACTCGGACCCTAACTTCCACTCGGACAGAGAACAGAGAGCCGGGGTGTGGATGGAGCTCTCTGGAGGCCTCCCTGATCCCGTGATGGAGCTGGGAGAGCCTCTGGGAGCCAGCTCAGGCAGGTCCCCCCATGCCCACAGACGGAGCTGGACTCACCACTGAGGAAGGGCTGCACCTTGGTGATGGGCATTTGGGGGCTGGGGGCCGGCGGCGGCTGGAGCTCTGCAGATGTGGACGGCTCTTTCTCTGACTGGAGGTCAGCAGCAAAGCTTCCCAGCGGACTGACATTCAGAGTGGTGGGGGTCCTGACCGGGGGGAGGTCTTCCTCCGTCACTGACACCACCTCTATGGTGGAGCTGTCCGGCTGCTCTGCTGCTGCCTGGAGCTCCTCAGTGAGAGGACGAACACAGACCTGCTCTTTAGAGACTGGACCAGCCAAAAGGCTTAAGACAGACACAATTAAGGCTACAAACGTTAACACATTTGATATAATACTTTTTCAAACTGAAGCATAAAGGGACTTCTCAAACGTTTGTCAGAGAGAAAACTAAATCTTAGTGTCAGAGAAATGTAAAAGCACATTTTCCACTGGGTTTGAACCTCCAGCAAACTGAACTCTTCCCCAGCTCATGTTGGATCGCCATGACAGAAGGTTTTGATGTGCTTTGGTCTCAACTCTAGACTGGAGAGTTTCCAGGTTCCCGGGTGAAGCTGAGCATCTTTAAAAAACAAAACTACTCCTGAGCACAGAGGAGTGGAAGTGGGGGGCTTTAAAGCCAGCTGGGGGGGCTGAGCCTTTCTCTGCCTCACCCAGATCTCCTCCACCCATACACCTCCATCTTTGGGGAAAAATAACCCACAAAGGCCCCTGAGATGAAACACTAATAGTAAATACAATTCAGTTTTGAATTGTGCTCCAACAGAATGAGTGAAAACTAATAAAAAGACCCGGACTAAAACTATGGGACCCATTAGCTGATATTTTGTTGACCAACATTTGGAGTTAATCCCTGGAATCAGTCGGTTTCTGTAACTATCTAAGAAGTGTCTGCACCTGTAAACAGGTGTTTTCATTTCTCTGAATCCTTGTCCTGCTCAGGTTCTGGCAGCAGACTTTTAATCTGCTTTGTGCTAAACACATTCGCTTTGCCAAAGTGATGAACAAAAAGCCCCCCTTGATTATCCCATTTCCATCCTATTTGACCAGTCGTGTGGCATTAGTTTGTTTTCAAGAACAATTCTGTCAAAGCTCAATTCAAAAGCAACGTCTGATTTTTTTTGGTTACTTTTCAGTAATATCAGTTTCACGTTATTAAGTTCTTCTTTCATTAACAGAGAAAACCATCCCTTTAGGGGGGGTCACTAAATGTCCTCAAAATGAAGCGTTTGCTGTTTTCCGGTTAAGATGCATGCTGCCCCTGAATTCAACACTGAGCCACGCTAGAGGACTCAGCCCAGGTTTCACAGCACAGTCTTCTATCAGACCAAGAAACTGGTTCAACAGAATGAACATGGAAAGAGAACAACGAGTCCTTAAACCCCTGACCAGACAGCAAACGTCTGCACCGTGGTACTGAGTGAACTTACTGCTGCAGGAGGAGAGGCGTCAGTGGTGCTGGCATCAGGATCTGTGAAGAACAACAACAAACACATCGAGTGGGGACAGAAAACAGGATGGGGGCAGACTGAGAGGAGGTTTGTCCCACATACTTATATCCACAGAGCTGTTCTGCATGATGCCATCGTCCACATTCATCCAGGCTTTGTCCAGGAGCATGCTGTGCTGTCCCCTGCCCCCCCCTTAATGGCTGGCCTCCTGCTGGGTCTATGGTTACAGAGGGACACCGGAGCAGAGTGCTGCCACACCGCCTGGGATCAGGTGACACCCCGCCTCACACTCTGTGGATAGACTTACATCCTTTAGTTAGCTGGAGGAGCAGACAAACGCGTGTCCACAGGAAGATGGCTCCTGAGGCTCCTCAGGGCTCCACGCTGGTCCATGGTGTCTGCCGCTCAGCTCACGGGGCTCTCAGGGGTGAGGAAAGAACTGTTGGCCTTCTTTTCACCTCCTCATTTGTTGTGATCTGCTCTAATCAGCTCTAATCTTCCTCATTTTGTCCTCAGGGACCATGCCAATAAAAGGGACATTGTGCCACTCGGTGGTCCTCTTCATACTTCTTCTCTTTTTCTGAGAGCATCCTTTGACTCTACACGTGTGCATGAACACATGCAGGGATTGGCTCAGAAAATGGAGACACCTGTTTACACTTTGTTCCACTCCTGTCTTGTCTTGTATTCACCTTCCTGCAACTACATATCGCTGCAGCGCCTTTTGGACATCCAACTCCACCCATCCAAGTCGGCCATTTTGATTACGTCAGTCCCCAACTCCGTCCAACCGCCCATCCAAGTCGGCCATTTTGAATACGTCACCCCTGGGAAGTGTGGGGCTAACTTTAGAACGTTTTAGAAAGTTTTAAATACAACAAAAAAAAACTGCAGTCACGTTATTTTGGGTGACAGTAGCCGTTAAACTAATTTCCCAAATATAAAAATGTTGCAATAACATGCATTATCCTAATTGCTTCATGGCAATATAGACATTCATTTAAAAATAGTGAAATGAATCTTGCAAACACTGAATTCAAGTCAATACATAATATTGGGTTAAAATAGTATGTGTTAACCCTCAATTGGACCCATTTCAGCTTTTGTGTTGATCAAAGTGCGGGTTATCCTTTTTTTTCCTCATGAAATTTGGTGACTTTTCCTCATCTGGGGTCATGAACCTGTGTGTGAAATCTGGTCACTCTGATGTGTACGGGGGGGTCTGTGCAGAGTTTGTATACAAAGATGATGTTGCGGGTCATTTTGAGCCGGACACATTAATGTGGGTAAGTAGCTGTTCAGATCCAGAAAATCCACCTCTGAGACCCAGACCAAGGTGTGAGTGAAGGATCTGGGTCTGAGGGTCTGTGTAAAACACTCTACATCACCACATCAAAGTGGAGGCAGACTGGCATCATCCATATGACTCCCGGTCATACAGGATTTGCCATCAGAGAGTTGATTTGATTCCATCAGCATTTCAGACCTTCATATCCCACCAATAGAGAGGATGATACTGGAAATGAGCAACTTGGAGGGGAGGCATACGTCACAACAACATCTAGCTGTGAGAGCCAGACTGCTTGCGGTTTGATCCAGACTCGAGTCAGGCCGCCTGATGTCCAGCAGCAGCCATCTTTGAACAGGTCAAGCTCAGGTCCCTCAACCAGCATCCAGTGGACAGGTGAAGAGAAAATGAAAAGCCCAGCTGCCCAGGTCTGTCCCTCCCAAGACGACAGTAAAATGAGCAACTCTTGTGTTAAATGCAAGAATTACATCTGCAGAAAGTACACAGTAATATTCCCAAACGTGTTTGTGATGAGGGGAAACACCCACACAAAATAGCTATTAAATAAAGTGTTTATTAAAATTGTATTGTATGCCACTTTTCTAAAGCTTTATTCAATATTAGTTGATTGTTTATTGGTTTATTCCATTTTTGTGGCCGTTTTGCATTCATTGACATAGTACGGGTCAAAATGACCCGCAACATAATCAATATCATTTTCTTCAACATAGTATAAGGGTTAAATAGGTTTGTACAATAAGTCCAAAAAAGGTTTATCCAAAAATACATTTACAAATAAGAGTAAACATAACAATTAAAGATAATGATAAAATATATATTCAGATTTTGGGGCAGTAGGTGGGCCGGGGGTGGAGCCCGTCCTCTGGCTAAGGGGAAAGGGTAGGGGGGTTAAACACAGCTGAACAAGAATCAATAACTGCATAATCTTCATGATGGTCAAAAACAAAAAGGAGGCGTTCTCTTGAATCATGGATGTCGTCATCATTGGTGAAAAGAACTGCTGTCATGGACAATATGCTGGGCAGTTCCACATGTCCAGGGAAAACAGACATGTTGTCCCGTATCCAGCATACTGCTTCATCCTTTCTTCTCATGGTGCTCTGAGAGAAAGACACAAGTCAATTTGATATCACATTTACATTCAGTACAATACTTTTCACCAATACACATATTCCCGTCCTACCAACGTACTGCTAAACCCACTGAGGTCCAAATAATGCTGTGCGTTTGGATGGCCTGAGGAATACTACCGTTTTCAACATCCACACATTGTACAGTTTTAAAAAATATTGATGATTATCATCTATGACAATAAGCTGTACTGTTTGCCAACATAGTCAAAAACTTTTTTAAATGGACATTGTGTTACAAGTTAAACCACTAGCAACTCTGCTAAGTATACTGATATGTGTAATTAATGTTAGCAGGCTAATAACGTTATCCTTCTCAAGCCCAAATAATTTTCAATAACTGTTGGGCTTTTACTAATCTTGCATACTTTCTTCACACAAAAATGATAACGTTCTGTGATGTTCATTTGGCATCACGGGATGGATATTGCATAAACTCAATTTCACAAGAAACACATATAACTAAAATTAGACAGGACCTAGCGCTAGCTACCATTAAATTGATGGTAGCCTACAAAACTTATCATGCAAAAAACTAACGAGCACCATGAACTAGATCGTCACATCAAATATCATAAAGATTTCACCCAGCAGGGTCAACAAAGTCATATCGTTAGGCCTATGAACATAAAATTTTGCATTTTTCACTTACCGACATGGTTGGTTTTCCCATTCGCTATGGGCAGTAAAGTTTTGTTTGAGCCTAAGAAAGCTCATAGCCGCATGACGTCAGCAAAATGGCCGCCGTGGATGGGCGGAATTGGATGTCCAAAAGGCTTCCCGGTTGTTGTGGGGCTTCCTGCTGCAGGCTGTCCCGGGGGGGGTGGGGGTCATCCGGCCTTGGATGGTCGAGGGGAGACGAGACAAGGTCAGAGACAGAACCAAGGCTAAGGTCAAAGGTGAAAGGCTGAGCCAGGACAAAGTGAGTCACTCAGCCCATAGTGTTCCCCTCACCCTCAGTGGGGGGGCGACTGGGGGCCCTGCTGGGGGGGGGGGGGGCGGGGGGGGGGGCGGGGGGGGGGGCGGGGGGGGGGTGGGGGGGGGGGCCCTGGTGGTCCGGGGGGCCCTGCTGGTCTTCCATTTCCCTGTGGGTCAGAAGATGGAGGTCAGAGGAAACCTGATCTGAAACGGCTAAACGTCCAGCAGCAAGCAGCAGTCAGACCACATTTGCTGTGGAAAGCCATCTGATGCTTTGGGATCTGTGGAAGTCTTCCAGTCAGCACAGACTGAAGGGTCTAAACATGACTCAGCTCTTTCAGAGTGTTCCAACAGGACTCCATCTGACACACGGAGCTCTGAGCAGCCAGAACCAGGACCAGGACCTGAACCAGAACCATGACCTGAACCAGGACCACAACCTGAACCTGAACCAGGACCTGAACCAGAACCAGGCTGAGAACCAGGACGAGGACCAGGACGAGGACCAGAACCTGAACCAGGACCAGGCCCAGGAAGAGGACCAGGACCTGAACCTGAACCAGGACCTGAACCTGGACGAGGACCAGGCTGAGAACCAGGACCTGAACCAGGCCCAGGAAAAGGACCAGGACCTGAACCTGAACCAGGACCCGAACCTGAACCAGGACCAGGCTGAGAACCAGGACCTGAACCAGGACCAGAACCAGGCCCAGAACCAGCACCTGGACCATGACCAAGCCAGAACCAGGAAAAGGACTAAGACCAAATCCAGAACTAGGACCAGGGCCATATCCAGAACCAGGCCAAGGACCAGAACCAGGGCCATATCCAGAACCAGGCCAAGGACCTGAACCAGGTCAAAACCAGGGCCACGCCCAGAACCAGAAAAAGGACCAGGTCCAGGAAGAGGCCCAAGACCAGAACCATATCCAGAACCATGGACCAGGGTCAGGAAGAGGCCCAAGACCCGAACCAGGCCCCAGTCTGGACCTTGCTGGGCTTTGCAAGTGTAACGGTTGCAATCAGGAGTCAAAACCACCTTGGAATCAGGATA